CCAAGTGCCCTTTGCTCCTGGGAGGAATTTTTTTTTTGGCTTAATGAGCTGCCAGTTAATCAGGAATGAAATCAGAGCTCAGCCTCCTGCAGGGGAATATTTCTTATTTATCTGCCCCCAGCCTGAAGAAACCTTTGGAACAACGATTTACAAGACATGAAAAAAAAAAAAAAAAAAACCCCAAAACCCCTAAAACTGCTCGGTTTCTTTTCATCCAAAGCATTCCCGATGCCATAGGATTGTCAGCAGGGGTCTGGCACTTGTGTCAGCAGCATCCAGCCAGGAGAGAAATGGATGTGGAGCGTTTATTCCTGCAGGGAAGGCGACAGCTCCGAGCATCCCACAGGGCTCAGGTCAGCACCAGCCTCAATCCCGGGGATAAAGGTGGCTCCATCCCTTATTCTCCATGAAAATATCAGTAGGAACCTCTCAATTATGGAAAATATATGCAGAGTCTTCCCAGCAGGAATCAGCCAAGGATATTGTGCTTTTTTTCCTCGTTTTTTTAATGATGCCCGGCCACTTGCTGTCGCCTCCATCGCCCCACGGATCCCAAATGGGGAGAAAAGCAGGGGAGGAAGGAAAAGAGGCGGGTCCAGGTTCGGATTTGTTTTCCAGAGGGATATAAAATTCAGAGGGATATAAAATTCAGGTTATTCAGAGGGATAAAATCGTTATCCATAGGGATAACTCTCATGGGAGGGTGGGAGCTGATGGAGATTTCGGACTCAGGGAAAGATCCGGAAATAGAAAAAAAAATTGGAGATTTAACTCAAAACTGGAGCTGTTCTGGGAGGGATCTGAGTCCAAAATCAGCTCTGATGGAACCAGAATATTGCAGGGGCTGCCGTGCCATGGATTTGCTCAGTCCTGGAGCTGAGGGCAGCCCTTGCTGGGGTTTTGTCAGCATTGAGCAGGGTTGGACACTCCAGAACCACCTGGATGTGGCGCCTGGGGACATGGTGGCCTTGGCAGTGGCCAGGGAATGGTGGGACTCAATGGCAGAGGCTTTTTCAATGTTAATTCCTTGGAACAGCAGCAGCCACCAGGAATTACCCAGCGATATTCCAGATTTTCCGACAATTTTGGCTGCACACAGGGGGTGTGGGGAGCTCTGCTCCCCAGTTCCCACAGCTCTCTCTCTTTGAGATTCCCATTTTCCTTCTGCCATTCCCAGCAGGGCCTGAAAATTGCCAGAGTTTCCCATCCCACATCTGGAGCTGAGCAAAACCGTTTTAATTCCTTGGAAATCCCCACCTCTACCTACAGCACTGTCAGGGAGGCTGCTCCAGTATTTCCTGCTCTGTGGAATTCCAGCAGAGTGGAATTGACAGGAGCTGTGCACAGATCCCTTTGGAAAAGCCCCAGGTGGATACAAAGGGATTTAGGGATTTTGGATTTAGTGGGAATCGTCGCGAGGGAACGGCGGAGTTTTACAAATGTACAAAGCTCCTGGGGGACAAAGGAGGGAGCATCTGGAACCGGGCGGGGAATGGGCGAATCCACAACCAGGAAAATGTGGAAACCACACGGAAACAAAGCCTGGAAAACTCTAAAATGCCAGAGGAAATATCCTGGGAGTATGGAAACCCCTAGGGATAATCTTGTGCCAACACCACATTCCCATTCCCAATCAGTGACACCTCATTGTCCCTCAGAGTCCCAACGGGCACCAAGGGGCCGCAAGCAGAGGCTGTGACAACATGAACATGCTCTCCTTCCTTTCCTTCATTCCAAGGATTCCCCATCCAAAGGATCCCCATCCATAAGGATCCCCATCCTGAGAATCCCAATCCAAAGGATCCCCATCCATAAGGATCCCCATCCCGAGAATCCCAATCCAAAGGATCCTCATCCATAAGGATCCCCATTATGAGGGATCCCCATCACAAGGGATTCCCCATCCAAAAGATCCCAAATCGAAGGATCCTCATGACAAGGAATCCCCTTCCAAAAGGATCCCAATCCAAGAGATTCCCCATCCCAACGGATCCCCATCCAAAGGATCCCCATCCAAAAGATCCCAAATTGAAGGATCCTCATCACAAGGGATCCCCATCCAAATGGATCTCTGTCCCTTCCTGGGATTCTCATCCTCCATGCAATGCCAAGCAATCCCTGAGTTGAGGGCAGTGGGATGAGGGATTTCCATGCAGCCATCACCATGGGGATGGTGGGGCCATGCCGGGGCCATGCTGGGGACACGCCGGGGACACTCTGGGGACACGCGGCCGACGCCTGTCTCACCTGAGCTGGTGGTAAAGGTAATGTACGAGTGCTCGCTGGGGTGGGACCATATGGGGAACACCCACAGCTTGTACATCATCCCCGGCGTCAGATCCGCCAGCTGCACCGAGGACGGGCCCTGAGCCTTAACGGGGATTGATTTCTCTGTCTTGTTACCTGGGGAACAGAAACCGCACATCAAACCC